CTTAGGTCAACGGGCTTATCGGCTGATATGCTGGCTTCCCAAGGAGTTTTAGGCGGTGAAGTTCTAGCTGGTATAACTCTACTCGACGACATCGGAGAATTGAGAGGTAATGCACTCGCGTCCGACCCCACTAATTCTGTTGATACAGTATGTGGTTCAATGGTTTCCGACTCAGTCTTCGCCTTCTTGCGTGGTTCTTCTTCGGTTGGAGACACTGCTGAAGGCACATCTGTATCGTTGGCTTCACCCACCTGGTCTGACACCACATCCCCAATGCTACTGTTGTTGTGTTGTTTAGAGTCCGGGATCAAATATTCGTCTAACGAGTTGTCCCAATAATAAGCCATGTTATCAAGACCTTCCCAGAATTTTCGAAAGTGCGCTAGACGCAATGGGACCTTTTCTCCCATTGGTTTCCTCGTGAGATTTGCAAACGCATCTTCGTTTCTAAAGACTAGCTCCTTTGCACGAACATAAAAGTCATTTTGGTCTGGAGCTTTCCTGCCGTTGCACAGAAGCTTGGCACTGTGTTCCGAGAGTTTCGACCCATTCTGTTCCGGTGCCTTTAGCCAGGAACTTGGCGGTATATACGCTTGCGCGTCAGTCGACACGGACGCTAGGAGTGTTTCGAAGTCACTCTGTGGTTGAAACGAGACGTTCAGTAGAGCCAAGGTGTCTACATCAACGTCTGAGGGTTTCTTCAAGTTGAGAAAATGCGCAGCAATTCCAGGGGCAGAATGGTCAGTCCAAGAGGTTGGCAATGTTGAAATCGACGGTTCAGGCGGATCGAGAGACGGGAATGTAACCGGTATCGGCCGCGATGGCGGCGGCCTCTCTTTCTTGTTATCATGTTGGCCTGCGAGAAGCGCACCTAAAAAATAGACTATAATCAGCGATGCTAATGCACGTGCCCATACGGAGCCCAAGGGGCGAAACGTGTTTTGCCATTCGATGGTACGGAACGACAGTACGAAACACGCGGATCAATTCAAACAGATGACTGGCAGGGGTAAATCTTTCGAGAGCGGGAGAGAACATGAGTTTCGAAGGTGGGTGACAGCCTGGCTGCTAACCGTGGTGGGCTGTGGCGTTCGCGAGTCGGGAGCGAAGGAGGCTCGGCGACAGTAGCTGCCGAGGGGCATTGGGAAAGTAAACGTACCGCTGAATTGAAACATAGTGGTGGACTTGTAGGCAGTTCGGGACGGCCATCAAGGACGACCGCGGGGGAGAGGTGAGGAAACGATGCATGGATTGTTCGCTTCTGTTCCCTAAATGGCCAGTGCCGAGCGCCGCTGTGGACCTGCATCAGTCGCAAAACCCACCGCTCGTCGTCCTACAGAGTCGCTATCATGTTTCATCCCCACGGGAGTTAAGCCTGTAGTATGGATTGCAGTTGGAATGGTCGTGAGCCACGTCGGCTCTGCGGAGTGTTCGGCAGCACATCCAAGGAGATGGCCTCCACTAGGGCAGGTGGTGTCGGCGACGGAGCGAGCCACGACACGTAGAATTAAGTGCCGCAGAGGGGATGCCCATAGATGCCACAATGCACTGGTCCAAGGAGTGTAGCAATTTTGGGATGCAAGACCCAGGGAAATCACGTGCGTGGAGGGGCGCCGGGCCGCGGCCTAGCAGTAGCATCACCCCTCAACACCTTCACAACCTCGCGTCTCCGCGTCGCGCAGCACCGCACGCGATGGCTGCCAGCACCTGGCCCCGCCATTTTGTGTGAGACGGCCATGCCAGTGTGCTGTGCGTGTCGATGCCTCCCGCGCTTCAAATGTGTTGGAATTGTTGCCCAAAGCGGCACCTGAGGCCGTTCCCGTTTCAGAACGTCCCAAGCGCTCCACCTCATGCCAACGGTTGGCAGCCATCCGGCCGCCCTTCTAGCCGCTGCCAGAATCCGCCTCTCTGTCTCTGTTCTCCACCATCCTCTCGCAGAAACCTCAATTTCCTACGTTTAATATGCTCGAAGCGCCAGCGGCGCTTTGATCTCGTTTCCTTTCGTCTCTTCTCTTGAGCCCCTAGCGGCGCTTCTTTCTATGAGTTTGTGTTCTGCATGGCCACTCCACAAGAGTCTATAGTGACGGTGAGCGGGCGGCGATGTACGCGCTCGCGGGCCCGGACGGCGGCCACATCGACCCTCACCTCAGCGCAAGAAATTACTTCCATCTTATCGACTTCGACGACGACTACCACGGATGCGCAATCCATCCAGAGCAGCTCCGTAGCTGACGCGCCTCCCCCTCCACCATCCTCTACCTCCTCTACCGAAACACCAGAGCAGGCGACCTCTGCCGAAGCAATTTCTTCGACGTTAGGTACGAGTAGCGCAGTCTCTTCAACAGTCGCGCAATCTTCGCTTCTGGCCAATGTCGCGCCACAGGTCCCTGCGGCTGCAGTTCCAGCGCCTGTACCTGAGGTCATTGAGTCGACGTCGGTCAAGCCCGTTGCGGTCGACCCTACTTCAGCACTACCAGCAACTCCGACACCAACAAATTCTGACACGAACCCTACAGCTCTATTGCCAACGTCTTCAGCCTCAGCAGAGCTAGCCGCATCCTCTGCCATAGCACCCATCGTTTCATCCTCTGCAATTCTTCCTGATGAGCCTGCGCAATCTGTGTTGCCTCAAGATCCCTCACCTGAACAGTCGCAGCCCACAGATACAGGCATACCAACAGGAGGTTCTGCGGGAGTCATCTCTCCGGACACAGGAACTCCTGAAGAGGGGAGTGGTCTTACTCTTCCCCTGACCGGGCAAACAAACGTTGCAAGCATTGCGGGAGGCGTAGTGGGTGGTTTTGTGGGCCTTGCGCTCATTAGTGCGCTACTCTTTTTCTGTCTGAGGAGACGCAAGACAGGAACTTTCGAGAAATGGCAACAACGCATGAGCGAAAAGAATGAAGGAGAAGGAGGGTTTCTGACAAAGTTACGTATGGTGCCCGAAAAGGTCAAAAACATCCCCGCAGGAGTCAGAATCTTCATTGCGAAGATCAAAGGCAATAAGTCGGGACCGACGTCAAATCCATACCGCAGGCACACTATACGCAGCAGTGTAAGCTCGGTATATTCAGTAGGCACGAATCGGCGCAGCCAATCCATCAGCGAGCCTCCTTCGAAGTTCCGGCAGCAACTACGTGGCTTCGGCGACCGGATGCCCAGTCTCAAGAGGTCTCGGACGCTCCTGCAGAAGAAACAAGACAGTCTCGTCATCGGCCAGAAGTCTCCTTTCCCCGGTATCGTCGAGGACCCCGTTGTTCGCAACAGCAATGGCATCGAAAACCCTTTTCAAGATCCATTAGATCCGCCCAAAAACCTTCAACTGCTGAATCCGGATCCAGCATCTCCTCAACTGCAAGATCAACAGCGCGGACCCATTACACCGAAGCCTGCCGCCACATCAGAACGAAATTCGCGCGATCCTTTCGCTTCCCTCCTCGAGGAGATAGATGCTCAGAATGGTAGTGGTACACCAGAGTGGCTTCGTGAGACTGCCCAACAACACAAGCGAACAACGAGCTCTCAGACCGCTCTCCGCTCACATCCTACATCAAAATACACCGCATCAGTCTATACCGACGCAGAGAATCCTTTCTTCGATCCCTCGGATCCCCCGCCAGTCCCGACGCAGCCACTGCCACCTAATCCCCCAGTGCGTCCAGCCAACGCATACGCACCGCTACCTCAGTTCAATGCGACTTCCAGTACAGTCTCTCGTATTTCCAAAGACTCATTCTTCTTTGGCGAACCTGGACCCAGTCGACCAGCGACGAATATGTACGGCTCTAGGGTACGGCAATCCGACCCATTCGATCTGGACCGACCGGAAGTGCTTGGGTTTGGCAATGTCGGTGGCCGTACTGTAAGAGGCAGTGTTACCAGGCAGAATTCTCGCAAGAGAAGCAGTACCGTGCCCAACTGGATCAATGTTGACGACGGTCCATACGAACCAGGCAGTGCTGCCTTGAGGAACCCGAGCTTCAAACGAAAACAACAGCGATAGCGACTTCGATATCAGATGCTCACACCGCGACGAAGAATCTAATGAGGTATATCATGGCGTTTATGTCTAATTTCTGAGTTGCCTGGAGATGACGGTGGCAGGAAGTATTCCGTGGGATCCACTGTCCGCAACAAACTCGCAGGGCATCACACTCAACTAGGAGTAGCTCTCGTGTATTCTTTTCCTTTCCATCGTATATTATGAAGATATCTTACCTTCCTTATTTGGTATTACATGTAGCATAGGTCGCGTCTTTTGGCTTTTAGAATACCCCCGGTCATCCAGACGCTCGTTACATGAAAATTATTACCTTACGCCCATTTTCGAATCACGATTCATGCTTAGTTGATCAGCCCTCAGCTTCACAATTGAATCTCACTACTGCGCACTGCGCTATCCCAGCATATCACACATTGACATCCGAGCCTTAGCCGTGACCCACATACACCACCTACTGCTCTCACACCGCCAAGTCCATTACTGCATTCCCCCAGCTTCAGGTTGAAACACGATATTTGTCAAGCAACATCCCTGCTCCCTCCGCAGACGTGTGCCAAGCATGACAGACTTTGTGACCACCAAAGGGTGTGTCAATGCGGGGAATCTCAATGGCGCGGTTTCCATCACGGACATTCTCCCATGACGGAGACGGGCGCTGAGGAAATGAGGCAAAACGTTGGGGAAATTTACACGAACGAAGGATATCTAGATCGTCCGAGGACAATGCTTTGACAACCACGATCATGCTGTTTGGATACTCATGCCTCGCCTCCATCGACACTTTTGTTGCGCTGCTAGAAATTGCTCGCGACAAAAGATTTATGCTCGCAGATGTTTCTTATGCGAGGTGCCTGCACCAGATTCATCTACTCGTTTTGTCTTAAGGCTGTCCGTACACTGCGCAATGAATCACATGTTCCACAATGCCAAATCAATGTGTAGTAGTAGTGTGTGTGTGCCTTTGGCACGGCACATCCCATCCGCAAAAAGAAAAAAGTGGACTTGCTGGGAATCGAACCCAGGACCTTTCCCACGCTTCGGACGATGCTGGAAAGCTCGTCACGTGCTAAGGGAAAATTATACCACTAAACCACAAGCCCGAATAGTGAATTGATGGATGTATAATGCAAATTCAAAATATAAGTCCCGAAAAGTCATATTTGAGTCTTCGTGAACGGTTTCCCACATTTCAAATTTGGAAAAAGGCATCTTTCACGGAATTACAGCAAGGTCGGTCTCTAGGGGGAAAACGTTGTATTTTGGCTTATGGCATCAGTTTTTACAGAAAATTGAAGTCTGCTGGTTATGAGTTTTCTAATGTGGGAACCCTTCCGTCGGATGCTTTTCCTGGAACGTTGGTTCGACCGCGAGCCCTCATCTTACTTCTACCAATCATCGCTTTGGCATCAGTCCACAATGACGCAGCTTGCTGAACCCAATAGCGCTTAATGTTGGTGGTTGAACCCTAACGCAAAAAATGAAAAGTGGTTTCTCGAATCTCGATCTCGAATGCCTGTCACACGTTTTTCGCTCTTCACTTTTTGGCCCATCACCTAGAGCCGTCTTCGGGGCAAAAGCGATTTCTCGATTACGTAAATTGTAATATTGAGCCGGCTCCATGCTTCGCAATTGACCCAGCCCAACTTCTATATGCACTAAAACACGCTTTTCATTATCACGTGATAGCACGTCAGATGGACCGCTTTCCGGCACGCATGTAGCGCATCCTTGTTCTCACATTGCGGATGTCACTGCGCGATACAGTACTGTGTTAACTCCAAGTGCCAGCTCATCACGTGATGTGACAGCAGACCTCCAACCGAACACGCTGCTGCTGGTGGGCACTCGGTATATCTCCTTCCTAAATAGGCAACCGCAGAGCCATATTACGCCTCAAAAAGCGCCGTAGTACGGTTGCAACTACGGTAGGCACCCCTCTACGGTACGTACGGCCCTAAACTACAAAATAGCACTATTAGAGTACTAGAGAACTATAGTAAATATAAGTTATTTATCTATATATATTAGTGTTGAAACAGGGTTATAGGTATAGTCAGCGCGGGTGGCGACGTACAGTAATACGCAAACGTCGGTACCAATCTATATCTATGCGACACTATATACAGTTATAGCAGAGATTATAGCATATATTCCAGTTAAGTCGTATGGAAGGCGAAGTACGTAGGGATGTGGTCTAGGGTAACAAAAGTTGGAGCGGGTGCTAGGCCCTTATCAAGATAGTTCCAGGGGGTTGGAAAGTATACTAGGAGGCAACAATACTAGTTAACTTTGCTTGGTAGATACCTAGTTAAGAGATGGATGTTAATATCGCGCACCTTTCGGTTCACAGTATAACACTGTAAAGGAACGCTGTTCAAGTGCTAGAACAACGCTGTAGTTCAAGTAAAGCTAAAAGTACTGTTAACCATGGGTCGCTGTTCGTAAGTGAGTCCCATAATAATGGCAGCACATGTCAGTATCAAAGTTGAGACAATAACGTGATGCGTATACGCTAGTATCTATAGTAACATCGCCTAAAGGAAATCCAATCTATTGACCCAAAATAACAAAATGCTATGCTATAACAAAAAGCCTCCTTAGCGTGCCTCCTCTTTACGCCGTTCCAAGGCTGCACTGTACCTATTCACAGGCGCATATTTCTAGACTCTGTTGCACCGTGACTGCGTTCCAAGTTCATCGCCTACTTTTTGAGGCGCACCACCTCCTACCTACATCTTGCCAACGTTTGCTGCATCCTTCGCAAACTTCCAGCCTGCTACGAGTCAGTGAAAGTTACGTAGACTGTGACGAAGATGGCTTACAATTATTGTAGTATACGGTGTATTTAAGGTCCCGTGCCACGAGTTGAGAGCCTAATCATGAGTCAGTCAAACAGGAAGTTGTTCTTGGAGCCTGATACGTATCACAGGCTATAGTAGCCTAGAGTGCAATATACGGTCTTCAGCTTAGTTCCAAGCAAGGATGCTTACCTATCGCCTTGACATAACTGGGTTCGGCAAACTGTGGAATCGCCTCCCCCTTGAAACTGTATCGTTCGGAAGCTCCCCTGCCACAGTTCCACCGTTCAAAATCACTGAGCTCGCACGTTGCACCCCTGAGACTGCGACAGAGGTCTTTCATCTCGCTGATTTCCGGCTCGCCAGGCCGCTGGGTTTCTTTGACCATTCCGTGGGAGTATGCGGGGAAATCGAGCTGACCATTGCTTTTTTCTATGACTGTGCCGACAATGAGGCTCGCGTGAGCGATGGTGGCTTTTTTGAAGATAAACATGTACGTCCTTCCAACCACAAGTTCCGCTCTGGGATCCTTCCTTTTCGCAGCCCGCAGGGCTCCAGTATAATCGGCAGTTGGAGCTGGACAGGCATTTGCCGGCGCGCGCTTGTTGTGCTTGCCCTTCTTCGCCTTCCGGTTGCATTTGCTCTTCTTCGCCTTCTTTGGCTTCTTCTTCTTGTTCTTCTTCGTCTTTGTCTTCCTGTTCTTCTTCGTCTTGTTCTTCTTGTTCTTCTTAGGTCGCCTGGTCCTTGTCTTCTTAGGCCTGCTCCTGCCCCTGCCGCGATTTTGTAGTTTTACGAGGCCGGACTCAAACGTATCGACTTCTTTCGACCCAAGATCCAAGTTAAGGCCATCGACTGCTACCTCCACATCGTTGAGGCCATGTTCGTACTCCCCAAGGCTTTTTGCAGCGGGAGCTTCCCAGCCGGCTGGGACTGACACCGCAAGGAGGCCCAGCAGGCCGAACAGCAGGAGCGTGAAGCTGAAAGAACGCATGTTGTAAAAGAATGAACAGCTGTAAGTGAGAGATAAAGAGTGACTGATGGAGTGCTTCAGGCAATCCTCCAAGAAGAGAACGATTTGCTTCAGTAAAGACGGTAGTGATTTGGTTGGTTTTTTGGAGCCGGGCATCATGTCATCTTATAGCACTGTGACACACAAACAGCTATGTCCAGGCACTCTAATCTCTCTTCCATTCATTTGTAGAATACAAACAATCAAACCGAAGTCCGAACCGGCCCGCTACTATGTCTCATTGTAAACCATGAAGACCATCAGCCCCAGACAAAAACGCATTTGCCTTGCTGCTGGCGCTGCGCCTCACCAACGCCCTCGGCCTGCGCACCTTTTTCCAGCCCGACAGTTTCTTACAGTCGCTGGAGCCCTCGTGGTAGCTGGCCTTTGCCGACGCCATCGGCGGCGCCCGCATCACCTGGGCATTCTCTCCTGCTCGATCATTCCATTCTCTCGTCCTTTCGCCCCATGCCATCCCGGACTCAGTTGGGTATATTGCTGCCAGGTTGATGTGTACGGAAAGTAATCAAAGTGTAGCAATTGTTAGTCGAGTTCCGAACCATTTGCTGCTTGGACCCATAGTTCTCATGCTATGCCGCTGGAGTTCGGTGTTTTGTCTCTTCAACGCCCCAGGAATTCGGTGTTTTACCTCTTTAACGCCCCAGGAGTTCGTGCTTTTCGCCCCAGGCGCTTGTACTGTTAAAAGATGGTTGAGGATTTTGACAACAAAAGATTGATTGATTGTTTTGTGTGTAGAGGAGAAGGCTGCTAGAAGCCTTGCCAAGGACTCTCTGTACGGTGCCTTGGCGCGCTAGCGCGTGCACGTGATTGATACTTCTAGCTCTAACATGTACTACGCCGTGCAGATGAATACGTAACGACCATACGGCCTGCGAGTTATTCTGTAAGCGAAAGCAATATCTTGGCCATAGTGTACGCATAGGTATCAAAAGTCCGAGACTTCTGACTGCCTTGCGTGGCGACTATATTACCGTGTCGCCGACCAAAAGGCCGTACCATGGGTTTGATGACAACCGGATAAATCGTCTTGGCAGTGCAACGTCGTACAGGGCTGAGCCTGCGCTGACTAAGAATCGACCTAGCTACCATAGGTAGGTGTCAAGAAGTAGGTGCTGCCAGCCTCCACCACGACAATAACGCCCTTCTACGACATCCGCTCGCTCACTCACCCACTCGGACCTTGCCCGCTCAACTTTGCCTCTTGACGCAATCCAGAGTATGGCGATATTACCTGTTCGCCTATGGAGATTTTTCCACCGGCCGAAGAATACAGCAGCCGAATTCCAAGAGTGGTTCCAGAACATCACCCAAGGTACGAAACACGAGGCATCTATCTGTTACGAATGCCTTTGGTCGACTAATCAAATACAGACGGTATAAGGAATCAGTTCCTTGCTTATTTTGAGGAGGGAAATGAATGTTGGGATCCACTCTGCCCGAAAGCCGACCGCGAGTACTTTAACGAGCGCATAGCCGGCCTCGTTGCTGCTTCCGATGATGAGATCCCGCTCACCTCGATTATTGATAACCTCTCACAAGCCCACCCTTCTAAAGCTGATGTTATACAATCTATAGCTCCAATGCTTGAGAGATTAATTATAGCCTACGCTTCCTTTCCATTCTCGACCCCCGTTACACTTACAAAAGATGCCTTATGTCGCGCAATGATATTACTGACGGAACGGGGCGAGTCGTGTTGGCTTCAAGGCAGGTCGAAGGGAAGCAAGCAGCAAATCCGCCCGCGTCCTAAAAAAAGGCAACTATCATTTCTTTACTCAGCGTTAGTGCGTCCACCCACTGGAGCTCCAACACAGGACGACGTTCTTGATGTTATATGCAAGACTACGTATCCTTGCGATGTAATAGGATATACCATAATTAATGGTGATAACTGGCTTGATCGCCACCATTACGCCGATTTTATACCACTGGCTGAGCGACTAGAACCTGCACAGGATGCGCAACCCATGGAGCCACTGCCTGCCTCACAAATACAGCTTCTACAGACCTTTGTTTCGGCCTTTACACCTCCATATTGTAAAGAGCCGGTGTATCCTGGGTTTAGATATAGCGAGAGTATAGATGAGGAGGAGTTCATTACTTGGGCGACAGAGGTATGTGAAGTTCTGTAGACGCTTTCCGCTTGTGCTAATATCAGGCAGATAAGGCTACTTTTCTGTTTACACCAGCTTTTCAAGGTCTATCTCCCACCTCGGGGCGGGCGCTTCGGATAGGCGACATGGATCTGCTAGCCACTGAAGAGTTTTGTGGA